TTCTGCTACCAAAAAATACTCTACAATATTGGAAACTAGAAGGAAAAGTTATACATGTACATTTAAAGGAGAAAATTATTTTAAAAATTAATTGATTTTTGGATGCGACATGAAAAATGCTCCCCAAATAATTAATAAAAAATGATTATCCTCAGATGGTCTCAAAATGTTTTATCCTTAGGAATTTGTCAGTGTAGCGAGCACACTATTTAATAAAATTATCTTCATTTCCGCACGTGCGTTAACAAACCGAGAGAATTTATACACCCAAGAGTATAAATTGCGTTTGCGATTCACTAAGCAAATTTCTAAACCAAACAAGCGAACTGAACGAGCATGAGATGTAATTGTCGGTGATTTTAATAAAATTCGCATCTACCTTTATTATCCTTTGTTCCCTTTTGCATAGTGTTCCATTCAGATTTTTTCCCTTCTAAATCACTGTCTCAAGCAGCAGTTCGTTCTTGGTGCCGAAGAAGTTTGGAAAGCAATTCTCAATTATTTATGCCATGAATCGGCAATTACTCGAGAAAGTGATAATGTGAAACATTTAGGGCAGATTTTGTGAACATTCCTCTAGCCAGGAAGGAATTTCACGATGAAATTCTGCTACAGCAAATATTTTAGCTGCTCTTACAAGGCTAAGCAAGATTAAAGAAAATGTCTGTTTGGTGTAGACAAGCCAGTGCTTTCAGCTGAAAATTCTCTTTAAAGAATTGGATGAAAATGTATTTTAACAGTCCTTCGGCTAGTCATTAATCAACCACATTAAGCTATTTTGTTCAATATTTCATTTGTACACAAAAATGTGTGAAGCGCCAACGTATAAGAAAAAAAATATTACGTTTAAATACTGTAATTCCTTAATAAAAATACAAATCAGATGCAACCACGAACATTAACACTTTGCCGATGCAAAAATATTAAGTATGAACAATAAAAATTAGTCCAGACAAGAACAGTTTATGTTATTTTACACAAGGTTTTATTGTTGAATCTAAGTTTTTTAAACCTCCTTTTAAAAATTGTATTCAAAATTTTAATTTCCACGTGTAAATGTTGCAAATTGCGCTAATTTTCTTTATTTGCCATTATGAAACCGGAAATACCTGGTTTGCCTTTTTACGTCTTGACCTCGAACCATCGTAAAATCCAATTTAATTATAAATAGGGCGATTATCCCTTGTTAATGTTAAAAATAATCACACAAATTAAGGTCTTTTAGAGAGAACATATCCAATCAAAGGTTCATTTCTTGTGTCTAAGCGGGCCAATCATTTTTTCTAACTCCAAAAATTGTGGGTCCGCTTAGCCACTAAAAATTTGCCTTTAGTTAAAAATAATATAAAATAAACTAATTTAAAAAAAAATAAAAAATTATGATTAGTGCTTCTTACATATAAATACATTAGTTATATTTCAAGAATAACCAGATATTTTTGCCTTTTCTGGATGTTTTTTTTTTAAGTTAAGTTTTAGTTAACACACAACGCAAATTAACATATTTTAGGATCAATCTGTATATGAATTAATACATGCCTGCATGAGTAAATTACACTTTTTTATGACTGCAAATCCTCGTTGCAGAATATTTTGTCCATTGTCCAGTATCGGTACACATCTGTCTTTTGTGATGAAAAAATGCAAATATTTCCAAAACCTTTAGAGATCAAAATTAAACTTATTGCATAAAAAGTATCAAAATCTTTGGAAAAACTTTAAAAAATTTATAGGAAAATACAGGGCGTTCTATTTCAATTAAGCGACCTCCGGTACAACTGAAAGGTATTTTTTTATATATTTTAGATGCAGAGGTCAGAGCAGCTTCAACGAGGCCGGAATGTTTTGAAAATTATTTGTTTTATTATTATTTAAATTATTATTTTGAAAACTGTATTTCTTCTTTCTCATTTTCGTAAAACACCCTGTGTAGGCATAAAACCCTAGTTATTGGCGTTAAAGCACTTAGAATAATTACTTAAGCCGTTACATAATTACACTCTTCAATTGCAAATTTTTAAATCAAATTGATCAAAATTTAAATTCCTGTAGTTTGATTGGAAAAATCCGTTTTCGGTTCGATTTACATCTGATTCTTTTCATGTTAATTTCACACGGATCCAAACATTTGGGTGCGCATTTTTTCATAAAAAATCCTCAGCATTTCCTGCTTATTGCCGATCACTTTTCATTCTTTAGAAAGCCTCCTCGGTGAAATAAAAAAATATATTTGATTCGCATCGACATCTTGGCGTGGGTAGAAGGAAAGGTTTATGGCTGATCGAAAATAAATTTTAAATTGAAGCATGATTTCTTTGTTTCATCGGAATAGCGCTTCGGCTTTGTTCCCAGTTATACGGTGTCAAAAGCCTTGATCGAACGTACTTTTGAAGAAAACCGGTGAGGTTCTGTTAAGGATATCGAAGACTTACCAATGAAATACTGATTAAATAGACTAGGGATCCAATAGTGCTTTCTGCCTTTGCGTATTCACGTGTACAAATTTCTAAATCTGCTAACTGTTATATTAATTTGCCGAGTTTGATATATTTTTTTGTAATTTGTAGCCTAATTATTTGGCTATTATCCCAAGGGCAACAAACGGTGATTTTTTATTTTCCATGCCAAATAGTGGAGAAAACAGACCCACTTTTACGTTTCTTCGAGAAAATCAAGGAAAGGAATTCGAAATCTAGTCAGTTCTTTTGAAACTGCGTGTTTTTTTGCACAATTGTATTTTTGAATCATTATTTTCTCGTAGAGATTAGAAAAATTGCAACAAATCTACTAATTGCTGTGCGATTTTAACTTTGTTTTTTTTTATAAAACGTTTTGACTTTGCGCTACTCAAAAGCTTACAAACACAAAAGAAATTTCGTATAGTGTCGTGCCCAAATGGTTCGGCAGAACAACTAAGTAAGTGCATTAAATTCTAAAAAATGTCGAAGATGAAAACGACTTTAACTAGAGCAACTGCTGACAAACGGATGCCGTTTCAAAACGATTCACAAGATTTTGGCTTTAAATAAAAAATTACGCACAAAGTGCCTAAAAACTGATAAAAACCTGACTGTATTTTGCTCATTATTGCCATGAAGAGTAGCGAATCAACATTTATTTCACTGGAAATAAGAGCCAAATAAGTAAACTATAAACCCAAATGAAAACTATTTAAATCGGGTAATTGGTACCTTGAACTGAGTGTCTGTTGAAGTTATAGAAAAAAATACGTCTGATTGCTGAGAGTTGATTAGTTCCATTGTGCTTTCAGTTTAGCAAGGGGGTTCTTGTGAAACGGAAGCGCAATTATCTGGTTTCCGTTGATGGTTTCCGAGTTATGTAAGGGCAAGAAAGTTCAATTTGGTTCGGTTATGGGAGATGAAAAATCCGTTTTCTTAAATATTGCTTCAATACTGAACTGTGATAAGAAACAAAGCATTAAAAATAACATTAGTTCTAAAATGCAATGAAATAAGCATCAAAAAACTTGCATGGAAGGAATAAAGGTTAAATCAGTGGATTGTCACGGGTCATCCAATTTCTATGCTTTTCCTATTAGAGCATGCAAAAATAATTTTCCTAACTGCATTTAAAATCCGCAAAATTTTGAAAACCAAATACTTTTGGAAAACATAATCTGACAAAATTAACTTTGAAGAATTATCGAAATTGGGGTTTTTGTTTGAAAAAGTGTATTTTTTTCTTAATAGGCACGAATTGTAATTACTCTAACGTCTGCAAGAGTTATTTTTGAAAAAAAATATCAAATATTTCAAAAGCCGTTAGATATACATAGATATAGGTATGAAATATATTTATAATTTCACGTAGAATGCTCCATTTAAAACAAGCTATTAATACCAACTTGTGCGGTCTTCTTCAGTCAGAAAATTCTCGGACACCCTGTATAAGGCTTTAGATATTTAGGTGACGAATTTTGTGCAGATTTCTTGGTCTTTGTGAGTTTGCAATAAAAGCGTTTCTATTTTTTCACATTCTAGTGAGATCAAGCTTTTTGTATAATACGATATTTTCATATATGTTCTTTTGGTTCAATTTGAGTGATGGCAATAAATTTAATTACAATTTTAACAAAACTAACTTTAAACAACCAAGGGGACAAAATAATCCATTGAATGACCCTTTTTAAACACCTGCCAATTATTTATGTTCAGCAAAAATCACACACTCTCCAAGGCTTACTTTCAGCTTATGCTCGTATGCAGCAATAAATGGTGTACGTTCCCGTAAATGTTTAATAGAAATTGTTAATTAAACGAGATAACATAAGCTATCAAGCAAATCGACGCCATTTGCTGGGTCATCGCACAAATGAGCATAGAAAAGTTGGCAAGGGTAAACACGGTCGTAGTAATCTAGCTGTAAAGCAAATAAGGACTTTTTCACCGACAGAAAGTGGGATGAATCGTCGCCCCATCGCCCTACAACGATGTGGGTAGAAAATGATTTTTGCAACATCAAATTTCAACTTTTTGTTGAAAACCAAGAATAAAAATTTTAAACTGGCACTGATGGAAATTAGAGCAGTTTTCCAGACTGGCGCAGTGATCTTGATAAGAAGCAAAGAAGTAACCATAAAAATTAAAAACGGTAAACTCGAACTCACTGCGACTTACCTTGCCAGCAATCTGTTGAAAAACTTTGCAAAACTTCACATAACTGCCCAACAAATCACTTGGAATGATCACAGGGAAAACTTCCAAACTCCATTAACAAATGATAAAACTCCGCTAATTCTTTGGCGCAAAAACTGTCCACCGTCGGAAAATGACTCGAACTAGAAAAAAACCGGCCGCAAAACTGATGTAGGGCCGCCGACGTCGACGTCGGTTTGTAACTGAGCGGCGTCTTCTGGAGGCGTCGCGACGCTGGATGTACTCTGACGTGGATGCTCAAGAGATAGAACTACCAGTTGGAGAATCACATAATCTGCTACGGGAGATGATCGCATTTATAAACAACCAGTAAAAATCAACAACTTTTTTTTTTTGAAGAGTTTATTCAGCATGGTCGGTAGACGCCCAAATAGTAGTGGCAGGTGGGGCAAAAATGATAAGTGTTCCTGCACGATTTCAAGCAGAAAGGCAGCAAACAGCAGGGCCAGCAGAGGCAAACACACAGAACTGCCGATATTATGTAGGACAGGTTGGATCTTTCAGTGTGAATGTCCGATATCACGATTGTCCGACATCGGGGACAGGAAATATAAAGCGGGTTTGGCCCTAGAGAATAGGAATCAGCTGAAAAAAATATAGTTGCACTGTTAAAAGAAACTGCCACAAGTAGTCCTGAAGCATGGCACACATTGAGCTTCAAAAGCCAAAAAACCGAAATTGTATCTCTTTATTAACGGCAGTGGCTGCTGGTAATTTTAGGGTTTTATTGCAATTTTTGGCGAAAAACAGTCAAAAGTAGTATCTGATCATAATGAACTTTACCTTATTTTAAAAGTATTTAAAAATATTTTGACAGCTCACATTTCGTAATTATCAATAATACACAAAAACCGAATCTCTCACTTAATTATTTTTTAAGTAGAACTTGCGTCCCGTAACCCAGAAATTCCTTAAAAAGTTCGATTCGCAACAAGCAACCGACATTATTCTACTACTCAATTTAATTCCCTTATTTTGCCTTATTTTTGTTCTTAATATTAGCATTCTTATCTACTTACTTAAACATGTTAATTCAATTTTTGCTATTAAAGACAGCTCAAAATGGACATTTACCAAAGTAAAAAGTAGTTTACGTTCATTCCGGCAAATTATTTAAAACTGCTTAAAGAAAAATCGATTGATAAATAAGAAAAATTAATGAAGAGTGGCTTTTTATGCAAAAATGTATCTGTTAAAGTTTTAAGAGCTTTAGGACCTGTTGCAAATTAGAGTATTACTCTTTTTTTCTAAAGACGTTAGGGAGACGTTAAAAATTTTTTTTTATAAAAACAAGCCTTATTTTTTTACCTCCCCTGTATACTTTCGAGAGATACGTAGAGGTACTTAACGAGCATCCTGTATATTCAAATGATAGTAATATTAACAGGCGTTTGGAATTAATTAAACCGGAGTTTCTCTACTTTTGCTATAAAAAGCCACTTTACACATAAAATCTTTTCATATTAATTTAATTTAAGACCACTTCAATATTACATTATGTACTTATTTATTTTTATACATGCCGTTTTTCACTTTTACTTTACCATGTTTCTTGGATAATCTCATCATTTTCTTCTACATTTGGTCGAAAAAGTGTTGGCTTTTCTTTTAATAAAATTTCCAGTTACTTTATTATTATCACGTGGGTGCAAATGCGGTTATTTCTGGCTTAGTTTTTTAATTTAACTGATTTAAATTTATTACATTTTTTATAGTAAGTAAATCGTGTTAGTATACACTTGTTTACTTACTGAATCATGTAAAATTTGTATTAAAATTAAAACAATACAACTTTGGCTATAACTGTTTGTTACTTTTCACGTCAAATTACAAAAAAACGACATTTTCAAGTTGTATTTTCTTTCTTTCAAGACTTTCTCTGCGTTTGTTATCAAAAGCCACTTCTCATTATAAAAACGAATTATTTATACTTATTTTAATTAGTAGAGAGGTAAAAATGTAAGTATGTAATACGAAGCAGTTGCGTTCAATATTACTATTAAACTAATAAATTATGCAAAGATAAGTCAATTTTGTGAGATCCTACAGTAAATCTAAAATATACCTCTAAATTAAGAGCAGTGGCGGCTCCAGGTCGTCTCCCGATTTGTTTTAATTTTGCAAAACCTAAATTTTCCAGCAATATCATCTAATAATTGTCTACCCTGTCCTTGTAAATTACATTTTATTCTAACTAATTCTTCAAACTAATTAAATTAAAAACTACTTTAATTGAAAATACATTTAATAATTTTGAAGAAATTGGCAATACCTACACATAAAACGGAATCGCTCACACACAATATTATTATAATTTTTAAAGCATACTCGTTGCGCGGTAATCTGCTACAAAGTCGCGCAAAAATTCAATATCGACAAACAACCGATACTACTCGTCTACTCAATAAAGCGATCGGCGCTGGCCTAAATGCAGCAAACCCTCCACATAAACGGCGGCTTTGTTTTGTCAGGTCGAGGGGATCGTGAGTGTAGCTTATTCTAATGGCCGACTTCACTTGTGTGTTTTGCGCTTTAGGTTTGGTTTTTTCTAATTTATTTCTAAGCTAATCCTAAGTATGTTGAAATACGGTGGAGCCCGTGTATGAAGTACACGCTTTTGTGACTTTCCAACTCCAGTAATCGGTACTTTAGGTATAGTGAATGTTTTCCATAATACATTTTCAACTCCGGTTATAGGAAAATTCCAGATAAAGTGAACAGAATTTTGCTCACAAAAGTATGCAAATTGCGTTTATTTTTGCGAATTTTTTGCAGTTCGAATTTGTCGTTGGGCGCATTCAAACTCGGTGACTTTAAAGAAAAACACATTTCAGGCTGATTTTTTTGAAAATTCACAAACTTTGAAATCGACGCCATCATCATCTGAATGTGAAAACCCCATCAAACTAATATAAAATATATTATCGATTATCGAAGCGAGAAAATATTTAAAACTTATTAACTGTTTATTAAGTAACCTGTCAAAGAAAACGGCAGTTATAAGAGTTTGTCTTGTCTCAGCAAAATGTAATTAGAAAATGCTTACTAGTTTATGTATATTTAAGTCATTTTCCAGTTAATAAACCAATTTAAATAAAATTGATTAAAAATTGACTCAAACTGCTAATTTTTCGAGTTTACCATTTTCGAACTCTACTCAAAAAGTAATTTAATTAGATCCCCTAACACCGCGATCGATGCCCAATTTAATAAATTGGTACAAGGAACACCAAAAACTGCTAATCAAAGCTTGTATAATTTCATTTTAATTTTGAGTGTTTATCTGTGTTTATTGCTGTATTTTCATTCTTTCTCATAAGATTTTTCGCCTTTGACTCAAAAATAGCATCTTGCACCAGCCGCCACTGCTTTGAAACCTAAGCAAAATCTACTTTAACGAATTACCTGAAACTATACTGGGGTTTTCGTCCCAGCCTCCATGAACCTCCGCATATGAAGGAGGAGGTTGTCGAGTGATAAATGGAATAGAAGGATAAGCATCAGAGGCAAAGTCGCTGAGGGCTGGGCCCAGTTTGAGGACCGTCGAATACGAGGGAGGAATGCGCTTCACACTCTTTTTAGAGCTCACTTTCTTCAGAAAGATTTCCCCATGCATAGCATTGGTGGAGTTTACTAAACCTCCAGCTAAAAAGCCGCCTTTAGTGGGCAGTTAGAGCAACCTCACCTCGAATCATGCACCAGGAGTCCGCACCAAATACACATCAGCCTTAGGTGTGCCAAGATTAGGCTGTGAGCTGGTCAAACGACTCACATCGGGTTCGTCGATTGATGAAGCGTCTGTAAAATTCCGTGTCGAAGTTGTTGGTTCTTGAACATTCTCTTCAAGCGTTATCTATCTCCAAAATATAGCGACAAACTGAAAGCTGAAGTTCAATGTCTCAGATTCCACTCACCTCTTCATTTTCATCGCTTTGCGGTTCTGAGCTTAGGATGTTTGGCTCAATTGATGTTGTTAGATCTGTGCTGTCCACCACTTCTGAGGTGCTCGAAGTGGATTTTCCAATCTCGTCATTGCTGTCTTTTTCATTGCTCATCACTCGATGGAAATTTAATCATTATTTCGACCGCTCGACAAAATCCGAATGTCACTATCACACAACATTTTTAATCCATTTTGTCAGATTTTTGAAGGGTTTAGTATACAAGGGGGTGTAAGACAACACGTGTACGTGTGAAAAAGTACAGATGAGAGAAAGTTAAAAAGTGAAGTGTAGAAGAAAGAAAGAAATTCGCTGAGAAATTGAAGGAGAAAGCGGTGAGGAGAATTGAAAATGGACGTAAGAATTAACATTCAACAACAACAAGAAATGAAAATAAAATTGAGCCATTGAAGCAACCAAACTAAGGTGAATATTATAACAGATTGCAATATAACACACAGAAAAGTTTGTTAAGATATAAAACAAGGTTTTAATTAAGGTGAATTGTGAATTTTTTTGTTGTCTTGAAAGTTAAAAAACCATTTGCAGGTAAAATTAACCACCAAAAGAAAATATCCCAAAGAAAAAGCTCTAAAAGGGACTCGCCTGAAACTCGCCGACTTAACAATTCCATGACTAAAAGAATATATTATAATTCTGTAATTTCATGGGCTTTTGTAAAAATCAAGTATCATTGATGGGTAGTTTTACAGTTTTTATTAATACTGTTTTAAAATCAGATAGAGGGACAATCTTGAGAATAGCTTTTTGTCGATTTTTTGAAAATGTTTACAAAAAACCCCCAAACAGGACAAATATAAAGTGAGAAAAAATACGGGATTTGGGTGTGATTTAAATGAAATTTTCGAAACCTTGAGAGTTAAGTACCTTTTACAGGGTGTTCTAGTTTGAACGTACTACAGAGTTTGGATTGAAAGCTACGAATTTTTTAAAAAGCGCTTACATTTGAGTGAATAGTTCCATTTGTACACTTGCGTTTTCCAAGTGCGCAAAAATCAGAATTTAGCGGCAACCGACTGAAATTTCCTAAGGCTTCAGAGTATAAAGTCTTCTATAGGGTGTGCGAGTTTGAAGTTGCTATCCTGTCGGAATTAAAAGTGGCGATTTTGTAAAAAATCGCGCAGTTGACTGGATACGCCCATATCTACACCTGTGTTCACACAGTCGTCTAAAATCAGGTTTCTTTGCGATTTCAACAAAAGTTTCCAGTCTTTAAGACCCAGGTATCTTCTATAGGCCCTGCGAGTTTCATCTTACTATCTCGTTCAAATTGAAAACTACGAATTTTTCATTATTTACTTATTGTTTTTATTTCTTTATTTTAATGTTTAAATTTCACTTAATCATATTTTGATGTGGTATGAATAAAATTTGTTAGAGCCCCAGATTTAAGTATCTTCTACATGGTGTACTAGCTTGAAGTGACTACCCGTTCAGAATTGAAAATTAGGAATTTTAGAAGAAGGGCGTACAGTTAAGTGATTAGTCGCATTTGTACACTTGCGGTTTCAAAATGAGAAAAATCATATTTTAGTGCGATTTTCAAGAAATATTCTCTGGTTCTGACTGAAAACCACAAATTTTTCAAGAATAAGGCGCTTTTGAATGAATATTCTCTTTTGTACACCTGCTTTTTCAGCAAGCGCGAAAGAATCGGTTATTATATCAAGGACGTTTCCTAAAGCTTCAAAATCCAGTATCTTCTATAGGATGAACCAGTTTCAAGTGACTATCTGGTAAAATTGGAAAATTACGACTCCTGATAGAATAGCGTGCGATTAGTCAATAGCCCCATTTGCTTACATTTGCCCAGTTTTTGTCTACATTTTCCAGATGGAGAAAATTTAAAGTTTAGTTCAATTTTAACACAATTTTGTACATTTTTAGAGCCAAGTATCTTCTATCTACAGTATGTGCGAGTTTGAAGTTATTATCTGGCCCGGAATGAAAACTAGGAATTTTTAAAAATAACGTTCAGATGAATATTTGGTCTAATTCATACACTTGCGTTTTGGTCCTGGAAAAGAAGCAAGTTTTAGCGGGATCTCAATGATATTTAGAGGTTCATAGTCAAGTATTTTCTATGTGGTGTGTCAGTTTCAAGTGATTATCTCGTTGGGAGTAATAAATACGGATTTTCTAAAGATCGCGCAATTCAGTGAATATTTTCTAGTACATCAGCGTTTTCAAACCCGGGCAAAAATCAGGTTTTAAAATCATAATAATGACGTTTTTTACTGTTTCAGGGCCAAGAAAATACTATCAGTTATACAAGTTTCAAGTGACCAAGTAGGTCAGGATTGAGAATTTCGATTTTTTTAAGGAGAACGTGCAGTTTAACCGCACTACACATTTGCACATCTGAGATTTCTGAGAAACATGAGCACGCCTGAGAAAAAATCATATTTTAGTGCGAATTGAACGAAATTTTCTGGAGCGTCAGAGTCAAACATATTTTATAGAGTGTGCAACTTTGAAGTCACCATCACTTCCCGAGTGCAAACTATGAATTTTTATAGAAAGTAGAGTTAAACAAATAGTCTCACTTGTATACCAGCGTTAACAAAATGGGTAAAAATCAGGCTTTAGTGCGAATTAAATAAACTTTTCTAGAGGTTCAGAGCAAAGAATCGTCTGCAAGGTGTGGGAGTTTCAAGTTGCTATCTGGACGGTTTCGAAAACACGACTTTTTAAAACAGACACACGAAATCAGGTTTAATTGCGTTTAATTTCGTATAGTTCCAGGTGAAGCAAAGAAAACTGAAGGTGAAGAAAAATTAGGATAGAGAGACGAACGTTTTGCAAATAGCGTGAAAGAAGATAACCAAGTTGAGTTAACATTGGGATCAAAATCAGAAACATGTGGAATCTAATGCATCTCTAACTCAAAGGATCAGATGGTTTATTTTAAAAGAATCGCAAAACAGCAGTACGATCGACAAAATTAAGAATTTTGAAATTTTCTAGGTCTGTTTTTGGTAGTGAAAATAAGATGGAGCGAGCATAATTCAGTTAGTAGTTGTTTGATAAGAAATCAGGTAAAAAGAAGAAGCAAATCACGAAAATTAAAGAATGAAAAATAAAAGGCAATCAAATTTGAACAGATGGGAAGAGATATATATTAATTAATTAATTTTATAAAATACAAGTAGTTTCGGAAAAACTCTGAAGCCATATGAAACCTTAAATGCATTTTTAAGGGACAGCTCAAGTACGACAGCAAAGTTATTCTAAAATGAACATAAAAAAGTTATCTTGCTGAACCACCACTTCGCCTGAAATTAGTGTTTTTCACATAGATGAAAAAAATACTTGTTTTAACTTATTCTAAACTTTTTTTTAATTTTCTTTACTAATTTTTTTTTGTCTGCTTATCGAAGTTCAGAAATTTTAGAACATGGTCTAAGCACGTTTCGCATGTCAACTTCTGTTAATACACAAACTATCGGCTTCAAAGGAAATAGGCTTTAAAAAAGCATAATTTCACAAGATCATTGAAGACAACTGAAGCTAAGTATTAACTCCGATAAACTTTCATGTTGGTGGCGCATTGTCTAACTGTTCTTGAAAATAGTGGCTCCATTTGGATAATCTTAAGTTCGGAATTCTCACCGTTGAAGCTATTTTCACATCAATTGAGGTTTGCACTTCATTGAACTCCAATAACTAGTTGAAAGTATCTTTATCCCTAAGCACACTGTTTTCACATTAAGGTTTATTGTCAGGGCTCTATTGAAAAATACTGATAAAAAATTAAATGATACATAGAATATCATCAGAATGAGTCTGAAGTTCATAAATTAGTTTGCCGAAATCTCACAAGTAATGGAGCTGCAGGGCTTTCAATTCAAATTGTTAAAATAATTTTTAATAAATATTTTATTTGCTTATTTATTAGTACACCATTGGTGGAAAGTAATAAGCTATAACTTTTTTACTTTTTGTCTTTACTAGCCAACAATACACAGAACAAAAAATGCTATAAAACCACACTAAAAATGCATTTTGTGCAAAAAAATCCCTGCGGTAAGAAATGATCCAAATGATTGCATCCAACGTTTCTGAATGCAAAACGTGTAGGTTTACGATTGAAACCATTGCAATCGATTCCCCAAATTTTCTCTATATTTTTTATTAATCTGTAATCTTTAGACCAATATTTTCCGTTGATAATTTACTTTTCTCGATATTTTAACAATATCAGTTAATCACTGTTTTTATTGGATCATTTTAGGAAAGCAAGTATTGGGCTGGTGCGGAAAGAACGTTGTTTTTGCGGCTCAAACCGTCCCTTGATAAAGACGAGTTTCACTGGGTTAAAGTGTTTTTCATTCGCCGTTTTGGGGAATTTCTTGAGTAATTAATTTCCGCCTTTACTTTCTGCGTTAACTGAGAGTAGTAGATTTAGCCAAGTCATGGACCCTCTGATGATAAAGCTGCTATAAGTAAAGTAAACAGTAAAGCCTGAGCTTAAAACGTTTGAAATAAAATTGGAATGAAGATTTGCTATACAATAATAAAAAAAGTCTTTTTCTCTTTCCCATCTTCTAATAACGATAATCATATTAGTGTGCTACTGAATAAGGTGTAACATTCTTTCCATATTTTTCGTTGCAACCTTTTTCTTTTTTGGTTATTAATTTTTGAGCGTTTCTGCGACGAGTATTTGCTTCTTACAACTGTTTCTTCCAGTCTTTGATTTTTTTCTAACATTTTGTACAGCTGCGTTTTCAAAGTGGAAAAAATCATAATTTAGTGTGATCCCAATGGCATTTGCCACATTCTCAGAGTTTCTAGTTTATTTTCTATAGGATCTATGAGTTTTAAATGTGTACTTAGTCAGGATTGAAAATAATGAATTTTTAAAGAATAGCGTGCAGTTGAGTTGTAAGTTCCATGTGCACACTTGCGTTTTTAAAGTGGCAAAAAATATTATTTTAGTTAAATGTAGATTAAACTTCCTGAAACTTTAGAGTCAAATATACTCTATCGGTTTTGCGAGTTTCAAGTTGATGTCTGGTCCGGATTGAAATCTACGAATTTTCGAAGAAACGCTTGCAGTTGAGTGAATGCCCCGTTTCAACACCTGAGCTTTCCAAGTGATCAAAAATTAGGTTTTAGTCTTCTTTCAATCACATTTGCTTCAAATTTAAGTAAATAAGGTAGAGTGCATCAGTTTCAAGTGACTGTCGGGTCAGGATTTAAAATCACTAATTTTTAAAGAAGAACAATCAAGTGAATATTTGCATTTGTACACCTGCGTTTTTAAAGTGGGAAAAATTCATAATTTAGTGTGATCCCAATGGCATTTGCTACATTCTTAGAGTCAAGTATATTCTACAAAATCTATGGGTTTTAAGTGAGTATCTAGTCAGGATTGAAAATAATCAATTTTTAAAGAAGAGCGTGCAGTTGAATGAATAGTCCAATTTGTACACTTGGGTTTGCAAAGAGGAACAAAATCAGACTTTATTGCATTTTAAATGATTTTTTTTCGGTCTTCAGAGTCGAGTACTTTCTATAAGGTGTGAAAGTTTCAAGTCACTATCTGGTCAACATTGGAAAATGCCTATTTTTAAAGAAGAACGTGTAGTAAAGAGAATATTCTCATTTCTACACCTGCGTTTAAAAAGTAGGCAAATTCAGGTTTTAGCACAATCCAGATGAAATTTTCTAGAGTTACCCAGTAAAGAACCTTCTATAGGACGTGCAAGATGCGAAGTTGCTATATAGTCCGGGTTAGAATTCCATTTTTTTTTAAGAAAGGCATGCAGTTGTAGAAAATAGTCCCATTTGTATACCTGTGCTTTAAAGGTGGGAAAAATAATATTTTAGTATGATGCCAATGAAATTGTTTGAAGCTTCAGAATCAAATATTTCCTATAGGTTTTGTGAGTGTTAAAGTTAAAATAGGTTTTGTGAGAATTTTTGAAGAAGTGCCTGCAGTTGGATGATTAGCCCCATCTCTAAACCGATGTTTCCAAAGCGATCAAAAATTAGGTTTTAGTCTGATCTCAATTGTATTTCATGGATGATCATCCGTGTCAAGTATCTTCTATTGGGTGTATTAGTTTAAAGTGAGTTTCTGGTCAGGTTTAAAAATTAGGACGTTTTACTGAACAAAGAGCGGTTGAATGAAGAGTTCCAGTTAGACACCTGGGTTTTTATAGTGGGGAAAAAACATATTTTACAGTAATCTTAATGGCATCTGCTAGAGCCTCGAAGTCTTCTATACAATTTATTCGTTTCAAGTGTTTTTCTGGCAAGGATGGAAAATAATGAATTTTTAAAGAAAAGCTCAGTTGAGTGAATAATCCTATTTGTATACTTGARTTTTCAGAGTGGGAAAATCACATTTTAATGCGTTTTTAATAAAATTTACYCGAACTTTAAAGTCGRGTAACAGCTATTGGGTATATCAGTTTTAAGTTACTATCTGCTCAGCATTGGAAAATGCGCATTTTTAAGGAGCGTGTCGGAGAGTGAATATTTACATTTCTACACCCACGTTTTCAATGAAGCCAAAAATCACCAAATTTAGCACGACGTTGATGAAATTTCCTAGAATTTCGGCATAGATAATCTTCAATAGGGTGTGTAAGTCTCCAGTTGCTATCTAGTCAGGATTAAAAATTATGATTTTTTAAAGAAGAGCGTGCAGTTCAGTGTTGATTCAAATGGTCGCATTTGTACACTTGCGAATACAATGTAGAAAAAATCAGGCTTTTGTGCCATTTTAATAAAAAAATTCTTCTTCAAAGGCTTCAAGGGCTTCAAAGCCAAGTACCCTCTATAGGGTGTACGAGTTTCAAGTTACTATTTGGTCAGAGTTGAGCAAAGGCTCAGATGAGTTTTACAGGATGAGCAAGAAGCGAGCTTCAGTGTCATTTGATTTAAACTTACAGGGTTTAAAGAGTCAAGTGTCTCCTATAGGGTGAACGAGTTTCAAGTTGATATCTGATCTATATGGACATTTTTTCAAAATCTGATTATCCAAGCCCAAATTGTTTATTAAAAATTTCAACGGCATTGATTGGTTTTGTATTTTGTTCTTCTAGGCTTCAGAGCAAAAACGAAATAATTGATGAATTCAATGTTCTCAGCCTGTATAAATGCCTACCACTGATTCTTTGCGGTAAAAACGTAATGAATTATGCTATTTTTCCAAATCAAAAAGTGAACGGTTTTCGAAATACTAGTTGGTTAAAGGTTTTGAAAATTAAGTTAGAGCCAATTGAATGCACACATACTCAAACATGTGGTGTCTTCGGCAAGTTGTGCGTCCAAACACCCTGTATTGTCTTAAATGCTATAAACAGTGGGGTTCAAACTAATTAAAATCCACCCGCCAAAAATAAGGCTCAATTTAGAAAGTCCAAGTCTGAACAAACATTTGATATCTGCTAGACCAAGCTTCACACTTTTGATTATTTGGTAAAATAATTAATAAATTCGTTTGCTGTTGAAATTGTTTCGCAAAAATATTCATCGCACACGAAACAGCCGGAAGAAATCGGAATCGAAATAAAATAGTATTTTACATTAAAGAAATTCCATTGCAACTGGTGTTGCAAATGTAAAAAATCAGTCGAATTTTTTATCGGAATAGTTCCAAGGAAAGTTGTTCATTTGTCGCAAACAAACACAGTAAAAGCGGCTCCAATTTTGGTCACTAGTTCTGGGACATCCGGTATACGACTGGGTCAAAAATCTGTTGCARTAAATTGTCAAATAATGTGGAGTTTTGCAACTGATTCACGTCATGTTTTATTRGCTTTTATCCAAAMCTTAACAATCAAGGGCGAACTTCGATAGTCTTCTTCAGGGRCGCGAAGAARTCGGCTTRTTTATTTTTCTACCAAATTCTTAAAAATKAAATTAAACCAATTCCAGCTACGATTAAATAATCTCGCTTCCGTCCATTATTCTAATTAGCACTTTTAYCATCTATAAACTGTTAAATAATCATATCAAAAAGTGTCTTCATCAGACATTATCATCTGGATTTCTCATTCCTTGYCGTAATTCCGATAAATAAAGTCAATTTGACGGTTTGGAGGCCGTCAATATCATCAATTTTCAAATGCAAAATTAAAAAATCGAAATCGCTTCACCACAATGTCTCACCTGCTTCGCAAGAAACGGAAGAATTGTTGAATGGACGCGTCGCTCGTCTGCCAAATATGTGGTGAAAAACTAGCGTTTAATCCAGAATGTCCGTGCACTTTGGGTGAGCATCTCATCCGGAAGCATCCCAATGTTGAAATGACCCATTTCTCGACCGAAGACTTGTGCTGTTGCAGTTCTTCCTCCAAAAAATTACCCCCATGTAAGGATCTTCGTCTAAATACAAGGGTGTTCTTATTTTACGGGGTGCGATGGTTTCAGGTCCCAGAACTGGCTTGCCCTGCAGCTGTGAGACTTTTGCTAAACCCAAAATCCAGTTGACTCCCAAGTGCGTTTTCAAAACTACAGGTGGGGATAAAGTAGCTTTTTAGTGAGTAAATGGAGAAAGTTGGGGAATTTCAGTGGAAACATGGAAACCAGGACCTTTAAGGGTCATGTGTCCTCAGTGCGCCAATCTGGACAGGCCCTGCATCCGAAGGCAGCGAAACAGAGTAAGTTGAAGTAAGTAGGTCATCTGGTGAGTGTGGTATTGTCCAAAATATCCGAACGATTTAAAAAATGATCCGTTCTAATTGAGCTTTGGTTCCAGGTGGCATATTCTCCATTAGGTGCGCTTTGCTTGTTGGTCTGCTGGCCTGTATGCTTCCTGCCGTTTCTGATGCCTCAGAGCAGCCAGATTCAGTTGTTTTGCAAACAGTGTGGGGCGTTTTTAGGTAAAGTCACAATTGAAGAATGGTCAATTCAACCATGGCTAAATAAGCGCGTTTTAGGGGAATACGATAGAAAGTCTGGTCGTATGCAATGCCCGCCATGCCCAGCCAAAGGCCAGTACAGTGTGAACAATCTTCCTCCTATATGTTAACGTTGATAAAGAACTAATTTTACGAATAGAAACAAAACTTACAATTTTTTTTTATTTTTGAATTGCAAAACACTATTTTAAAACACACAATCCACATTACGATAACTGTTTTCATATAAATGTAAAAATATTCGCTTTTTGAGTCTGGGGTCACAACCAGCTCCTAATGTTATGGCAAGTTTAAACATGTTCTATTTCACATTTATCAGTCTTGAAGTTAGGAACACTTTTGCGTCTTCAGGCACAACAGTTTGAGCATCAACTAAGTGAAATAATAGTGACTTGCTGGAAGTGCTTTTGAAATTCTGGAATTAAGTCATTAAACAAGCAAGCAGTTTCACTAGTACGAAAAAAAAACGTTAATTGAAGCGCACAATCTGGTTCAGCAACGTTTTTATTGAATATTCGCTAAAAACTTTGTACTAAAACATATGAAAAACTATTATAACCAGTTCCTAATATTACTACCCGTTTAAACATGTTCTATTTCCCCAATTGATACAAAAACATTTTTAATCAAAATTGAGAATCTGTTTCAATAATCCTTAAAGTAGAGCGATCTACAAAGAGATAAGCATAAGACTGTTGGATCACTAAACCAAACCTAAATGCTTCATTAATGAAAATTTCCAACCCACTTAAGGGTTTGTACACAATTCTCAAAAGACTATCAGACCAAGAGTTGATTTGGTACTTGGCATCCAAAACCAGATATACAACGCTTAACGTTGAAGTGTGAAATAACTTGAATTCTTTTGAAATGTATGGTGAATGTTTCATCTATGAGGAGTCTGTAGAATTAAATTATTGATTCTAATAGTGATAGGAAAATTGGCCGCAATAGCGGGGTTTAGTGCAATTTTTAGAGTTTTTGAGCAAGAAAAACTATTAAATATTTAGCACTCTCTGAACAGTAAATCTTCTTATACGCATTAAAAAAGTGTTTATCCTCGCAACTCAACCATCATTGCCTAATAAGCCAAATAAGTGAATCTATTCTCGGAACTCTAAAAAATTTTGCTTGCTTTAAATAGTCGCCTGAAAATAAGCTTTCTAATAATATGAGCTCAAATAAGCTTTTTTCCTTGAAGCTAAAACATATTCATATTTATGAAAGTATATGTATTATTACCTTAAGCACATGATCAAAAAGGTACTGAGATTTTTAAGAAAAAACGTGGCTCCGCTGATATTGATGGTCGAAACTCTTTTTTGAAATATTGAAAGAATGGTGCGATCGATTTTTATTAAACACTGTAAATTTGTTCCGATCAAAAAATCATGTTTTGATGAAGCAAGCGAGTTCATTCGCTTTTGGCAAGTGAGGAATTCTGGAGTGTCTTGGTATAAAAACCAATCAAACTTTTTCTTTAGTAGCTGGAATCAGCTGATCATTTTTGAGTTGATGCACCAATCCTTTTTGGGCTCTTTCTAAAATATTGTCGCTTTCATAGCTATTGCGCAAAAAACGTTTCTGTTTGCTTGGTGTTAACAATTTCAGATAAAACTTAATTTAAGTTTTTTAATGTAAAATTATTTATTAACTAATGAGTCTCAATTTCTCAGTCGACAAGAGAACAGAAATATTTTTTCAATAACGGAGGACAAAAAAATCAAAAGAGGATTAGTGCATCAACTCAAAAAATTCACATGATTTCAGCCGCCAAATAAAAAGTTCAGGTAGCTTTTGTACCAAGACACTCAAGAATTCACCACTTGTCCAAGCGGATGAACTCGGTTGTTGCGTCACATCATAAGCCTTACATACGAACAAATTTACAGCGAATTTAATTAAAATTCAACTAAACTTTGTTGCGATATTTTTGCCTAGTAAAAGTCAGGCCAGAGCGTCTTCGTTTGATCTAAAGAATATAGCTGTACCCTTTTGATACTGTGTTTACGGGACACCCTGTATGGACAAAAAGTATACAAAAACTAAGTAATTTATACTCTCCTGAAACAAAAACTAATTCAAATTAGCTCCGGTCTTCTAGATACTAGAACTAGAAAAGTTCTTGCGTGCGAACTGGCTGGAAGACATAACTGGTTTTCCTTGGGGGATGCTCTGCTTCAATTTTGCGGCTAATTAAATAATAATATATTATAGTTAGGAAACGTGCGGCTAAACTCTTCTAATTAACACTGAGTTGGTTGATTTCAGAATAAGCGAAATCTTTAGTAGGATCAGACTTAATAACAACATTACCCAATGCACGTTTGGCACTTTCCACGTGTTTTCTCACCCACTCTCGATTGATGTCAGATTCATCACGCATCAAGTCACACCTAAAATATGAATACACTCAAACATCGGTTTCTTTCAATAGACAGTTTTCACTTTTTTTAAATGTTGATATATAGAAAGTAGCTATGGCAAACATTACAGTGATATAATTTTTTTTGCAAAAAAAGTTTCTAATAATTTTAAATTGTACATACTTTCCTGACTGTGTTTCAATTCCAAATCAAAATTAATTCCTGGGTTTCAGTCATTTGTTGTCTATATTTATCAATTAAAATACGTTTCGGTGTATTTTTCCACCACCATCAGTTTTTCTAAAATAACCGAGAGTTAAAAAAAAATTTCCTTAATTTAAAAAACAATCACAGTTCGTCAACAGCCTCATCATATCACACACTAAAATTGCAACACTTTAAAACATTCTAAAATTAATTATGCCTAACAGGTGATTGCAGAAGATTGTCGGTATCCGATCTGAAATTCATAGCATTGTTATGTTTTTTAATCTGTATCATTTCATTCAGATCGGATACCGACAATCTTAGCTCAGTATATCATACATTAATTAAAAGAAATAAACATAGAATATTAACTAACACCCGGTATATTGAAGAATTTTGCAAACCAAAAATAATATTCTCAGAATGCAAAGAAAAATAGCTGAAAGTAAAAGAAATCAATATAAACATTATTTCGCTTTGTGTCCAAAAGGGACAAAATTAATACTCCAAATGCCAAGGCTTAAAGCAGCAACAACGCTACACATGTAAGTAAAAATATTTAAGTATCTGAACAATGAATTCTAGTCTCTTCCCAAATTTGATTGTCCTGACTAATCATCTGTTAGGCCTAATTAATTTTAGAATGTTTTAAAGTGTTGCAATTGTGATGTATTTTAGTGTGTGATATGATGAGGCTGTTGACGAACTGCGATTGTTTTTTAAATTAATGAA